TTTTGGTTTGTTTTTTTTCCTCTGAAGTAATAACTTACAGGCCTTCATGAAAAAAATGTTGGAGGAAATGAACCAGTGTACTAGCCTGGGGTGTAATCTGATTTCATCTAAACTTGTTGTAAGTTTAAGCAATACATTTGAATATAAAATACCTAATTCTGATGTGCAAAAGGCATGTTTCATGCTCATGTGTGGAAATGGTATCACAGAATAATATGGGGTTGGAATGGACCTCTGGAGGTCATCTGGTCCAACATCCCTGTCAGAGCAGGTCCACCTAGGGCAGGTTGCACAGGAATGTGTCCAGGCAGGTTTTGAATGTCTCCAGAGACACAGACTCTACCACTTCTCTTGGCAGCCTGTTCTAGTGCTCTGCCACCCTCAAAGTAAAGAAGTTCCTCCTCATGTTTAGATGAAACTTCCCATGTTCAAGTTTATGCCCGTTACCTCTTGTCCTGTCACTGGGCACCACTGAAAAAAAACCGAAAAAACGTCTGGCCCCGTCCTCTTGACACCTACCCTTGAAGTATTTATAACCATTGATAAGATCCCCCCTCAGTCTTCTCTTCTCCAGACTAAAAAGACCCAAGTCCCTCAGCCTTGTCTCATAAAAGAGATGTTCTGGTCCCTTAATCATCTTTGTAGCCCTTTGCTGTACCATCTCCAGCAGTTCCCAACCAGTGAGCCCTGACTTGGACACAGTACTCCAAATAAGGCCTCACCAAGGGAGAGTAGAGGGGGAGGATGACCTCCCTCGACCTGCTTGCCACACTCTTCTTGATGCACCCCAGGATACCATTGGTCTTCTTGGCCACAAGGGCACATTGCTGGCTCATGGTCATCCTGCAGTCCACCAGGACTCCCAGGTCTTTTTCCTCTGAGCTGCTCTCCAGCAGGTCAGCTCCCAACCTGTACTGGTGCATGGGGTTATTCCTCCTCAGGTGCAGCACTCTACGCTTGCCCTTGTTGAATTTCATCAGGTTCCTCTCTGCCCAACTCTCCAGCCTATCCAGGTCTTGCTGTGGGGTGGCACAGCCTTCTGGTGTGTCAGCCACCCCTGCATACGTAGTTGGTATGTAATTTAGGACTGTCTTCACAAGGTTTAGCTATTCTGTTTACCTCCCAACACTGAAGGTTGTAAGTGAGACTGTTTCATCACTGTGTTAATTTCTTCAAACACCTGAAGGATTTCCTATGACTTAGAAATAAACAAATCAAAAGTTGACCCCTGCATGGTTAGATCTGTCTGTATCATCAACCAGATGGCAAAGGGGCATAGCATTGTCAAATTTAAGACTTCAGATGAGTGAAAGGTATGTGAGAATTCTGTACTTAGTTATCTTTCCTCTGTAGATAGAATGTCAGGTCCCAGGCTGACTTGGCTAAAGTGGGTGTGAGGAAATAGACATTAGATGGACACTTTCACCCTCCCTGCTGCATCTGTTTTACAACAACATCCTTTCTTTGCTGCTGCTCTAGGGGTTGCATTAATGTGCAACACTGTAATAGCCGATCAGTGGAAACATAAGGTACATCAACCATTAACCACATTTTAGTTAGAGTACTAGAAAGAAGACAACTACTCCCTGTTGTTAGATTGGTTGGTCAATGATGGTGCTTCTCCCATGGATGCTAATGGTGGAGCTGAAGTGATGTTGATGTAATTGAGGACATTTTGGGAGGGAAATAGTAATGAAGGAAGGGTAGCATGGCTGAAACCTGTGAGACTTAAGTTTCAAAAATGCCTGAGGCAGCAACCCCTGAAGTCCTGAAAATGGTGCTCATGGCTTATTAGAGGATTGAGTTCACCCTGGTCTGATTACTAGTCTTTTTTTTTTTCTTTTATAGTATTTTCACAGTATCAGTAATTCCTGTTATTGAATTCTTTTTTTTTCCCCTAACTTTAACTTTCTGCAAAAGCTTACCGTATATTAAGTAAAGAGACCGTTATCCTTTTTTAACATTTTTCTCTAATACCTTGAACTAACCATATAGCGTCAGATTTTTCAGTCTATTTAAATGGAAGACACCAATTTTTGTTTTTATTGAGTAAGAATTGAAGAGAATGAAAGCGAGGAAGTGCAAATTGTTTATCTCTGTGGAGGATGCATATGAAGTCAATAATGCATTCATTACTTAAAGTAAGTTTATTTGAATTTACACTTTACTTTAGTCTCGCTCCACTGGAATTATTATTCAGAGCTACACTCCAAAAGCGTTTTTATTAGTTAGAGGGTATTTGTGAACTACAAACTCTTGGCTGTGCCTCCTGTCCTGTTAAGTATGTCTACAGACTTAAGCGAAAATTTCCATTTAGTGTGGCCAATTCAGGGTACTGGATGCTTTAAAGAGTCAGTAAGGATAGCTGCTTTCTAGATAAGGCCTCAGAATTCTTGGTATTATCTAAACTGAGGATTAAAAACTTAGAATTTTCCAAAAGTTTCCATTACATCTCCTATTCTGCCTACTATGCATTGTACATTATTAAAGAGTACTGCTCTGACATGCCCCCCAAAAAAGCGAATTAACATTTCTTGTGAACTCTGTTCTTTTCTGGAGAAGTAATAATGACTCAAACAGCTCCAAAAGCTTCTCATAGGAACCAGAATTCATTACTTGTGAAATTAATGCCCATTACACTCATTGATACTGTGCATAAACTGCAATTCATAGGAAAAAAAAAGCTTTTTTTTTTTTGCTGTTATAGATAACAGATCTGTGACTTGCACAGAGGATACGGACAAATGCAGCATGTGAGTGACATAATTTGTGAAACTTTTGCTTCACACTGCTCATCATGTTTTGCTCTTTTTATGTATCTTTTGTCTCTTAAAGTCAATTTTAGTTGTGATTTGTTACAGCTCTTAGAAGAGAAAAAGCCCATTCTAGGCAGCGAGAAGATGAGCCCTGCCTTGTGCTTTGGATCTGGCTTGAAGCCTTTTGAGTGTTACCATTTTTAGGGAAATACTCACCTGCCAATATGGGCATAAGCAAAATAAAAATTGCTGATGGTGGATTTTTTTATAGATCCAATTATTTTGCTTCTTAACATTGATTTAGTTTGTCTTTCTTAAGAGTCTTATTTCTCCCTCTGAAACTAAATCCTTATATTTTGTAAATATACAAGTGTGTTTGTTAACTGGTACATGGCTGAAAGAAGACATATGCAAGTCAGGAGAAAGATTAAGTTGATCATATCCCACTTGCATGTAAGTGCTATAACTAAGGAGATGCCTTTAAAAAAAAAGTTTCTTTCTGAAAAAAAACCAGGACTGATCAGCCTCTGTTTAGACTTCTAAAAGGACTACTGGGTCTTTATCAGTTACTTACATGAGTTTAGGATATAACCACTATGATGGAGCAATTCTTTGACTTCTGCATCCTGTCTCTAGTGTGACTAGAAAAATCAAAGTAAAAAGGAAGTGTAACAAGACATAAAGTGGGGCTTTAGACTAGTTTATAGGAACATACTTAACCTCTCTGTGCAATTTTCTGTCTATGTAATGGGGATAATGTATCTAATGTATAACTACAGCATGAGAAGCCTGCGGATTAATTGGTTAATGAATTCATAGTACTCAGAGCATGAAAAGTGCGCTCTAAATGTTTTCCCACAGAAATTTCTCCACTACCTAAAGAGAGAAGAAGAAAAAAGCCAATTCATTGCTTTAAAGAACTGTGAGAGTTCCATCAAGAACACAGATAATTAAAGTAATATTAATAGATTTTTAGGTCTTCATTTTCCCTTTGAGGCCAGGTGTCCCTGATTTTTTCCCTTTTTTTTTTTTTTTTTCCCTTTTCCCCTTCAAGCAATGTCCCTGACTCAGTTGTCAAAGACTGAGGAGCAAAAGTGCCCATCTAGCTTTGAACTTGATACCTGCAGTGGAGCTACAAGGTTAAATAAATGGGGTGGTTTTCTTTTTTCTTTTTTTTTTTTTTAAACTCAGCGTAACACTTCAAAAAGATCTTCTCCCCCTCTTCCCCCCCCACCCCTTTCCCTCCCCCGGTGTATTTTTAGGCTGTATGCACTCCTGCCTATGTCTCTTCCTTAGTCCCAGCTGAAGATTTCAAGGGAGATGAGAGCTCTATTTTGTTTCTCCCTTGTATTGCAGATAGGGGGAGGAGGTGGTTATTAGAGAGAAGCGCTCTCACTCGCTCGCTCTCTCTGTTTCTCCCTCTCTGGCTGATAGCACTTATCTCTCGCTCTCTCTCCTTCTCCTAGGTGATCCATTTCTAGGCAACGTGCTGGCTGGTGCTGGAGCTGCCAGCTCTCTCTGCATCCCACCAGCAAAGCGAGCTCCAAAACCAACCTGCAGACCATCATCTGCTTTCCTCTGCCTTGCTCCGGGCACTCCTCCTCTCGTTCCTGCCCTGTCCAACCACTACCTTGCGCGACAGAGACAGCACGCCGGGCTTGATTCGCAGATTTCTTTCTTTTTTTTTTTTTTCTTTTTTCTAATTTTTCCTCCAGTTGTAGGAAGCAATTTTTTTAAGCGAAGGGTGGGGGGAAATCTCTGCATTACTATCTGCATTACCTTGAAGTTCACTTTGTTTTTTGGCCTCCGGGGGGGCTTTTCCTGCAGGAATCTGATTGCTGGAAGCGGGATCGCCTGCTCTCCGGGTTGCCCGCTCCTCCTCCCTCGCTGAAGGCGAGCTATTTGCTGCGGGCTCCTGGGGCTTCTCTGGCCAAGAGGGGTTGTGTGTGTCTGTGCCTGTGTGCGTGTCTGCGTGTGTGTGTGTGAGCGTGTGCGTGGTGTGGGTTGGAAGTTGCTGTTCAGCAGCCGGGACCGAGCGGATCCCTGGACCCGGCGGAAGGATGGGGATTGTCTGACCAGCAGAGGCGTCCGCTGCCCGCGCCGGCGCCCGGGCTGGATGGATTTGCTGCCGGCGCTCCCAGCAACTCTGGTGCTGCCCAGGAGCCCCCCGAAGTGACACCGGGGTTTCGCCGAGGAGAGAGGCGCTCGGAGCCCCGGACTCGCTCCTTGCCCAGCCGCGGCTGTGTGCCAGCCCCCGGGATTTACGCGTTCCTCCGGCGGCACCTCAAACTCTTGGGTTTCCTGCGCCGCGCTGCCCTCCGCGGTGGCACCGTTGGGCGAAGAGATCTGTTGTTACAAAGCCTGGACCTCCGGAGGAGATGGAAGTTTTTTCCCTCATCCTGGTCGTGTCCGTCTGTTGGACTCGAACCTGGAAAGCAGCGATTGCAGATTCAATCATTCATATCGGTAAGGGGGTGCTGCGTCTGCTGGTGCTGCTGGACACTTTTCTAGCTCTCCTTTGCAACCTTCCCTCTCTTGGCAGGCTTCCTCCGCTCCCCCCGCAGCCCCCGCTCTCTTCTATCCCTTGCTCGCTTGCTTTTTTTTGTTTGTTTGTTTGTTTGTTCCCCTCTTATAACAGCTTTCCACTGGGATCTTAGGCGTCCTCTTTTTCCTCCTACCGCTCTGTGTAAAGGTTTCTTGTCGGCGGGGTGTGTGCGTGCTTTAGACCTTGAGCTTTTGCGCGGCTGATGATCTAGGGGGGCCAGGGCTCAGGCACTTCCCCCGTCCCTCCCCGCAGCCTCTCGGCTCCAGCCTGCCTTCCTCCTGCCCCGGCTCACCCTCGGGCCGGGTAGGGGGGACGGACCCAAAGCCTCCCCATATTTCTCACACTACCGTGCCAGCCCCGCAAAGCCCCCCCGCATCTTCATTCCTTCACCCCCCACCCCC